TGATAATAATAATCAATAACAAATATAAAAAAACTCAATGGATTTTGAAGAAATTTGTTTTTATTTAAGTCTCAAATTACATTGTATTTTATTCAATTTATGATAAAATCTTATACAAAACTTTGAGCTTTAACCAAAACTACCATGCTCCGTCTTCAGTCTTACCTGGTCTGCAGATTTTACAAAACAACATAATATGATTTTAAAATAATTGTAACAGGGTTGTGTTCTTCCCAAAGTTCAACCAACTCAGCAAATATTTTAAACATTTTTTTCTATGCAGGGATTTTTGGATTAATTAATCATGCAAAGAACACAAAATGTGTCCACTGGTTCACAAATATGTAATTTATTTAAATTGCAAAGAAGCCACCAATTTTAGATAAAAAAAAACGAGTCAGAGAACTTTTGTTTCAAGCTGCAGGCTAATTTACACAAATTTAAAGCCTTTCTTTCCTGTTTGTTTTTGCTGTTTTAGGTTCTAACTTTCTCTTCATCACAACTACATGCAAAGACATCTAGTTTTATTTGTTCATAAGACTGTTTGTGTGGGTCGACAACAGTGTGGTTTACTTGTTGGACGTCAGCAGCTCTCCAAACTGTGCAGAGCCTTCCACGTCTCTTTGTACACCGAACAGCTTCCCTCCCTTCCTTATTCATTACAACTTTCATGGCAAACTAGTCCATTTACCTCAGTATTCCACAAACAAGGCCTTCATCAAAGGGTTCTTCCCTGGTTTTTCCTGCAGCGTCATTTATCTAACCAGCCCGATATGTCGGAGCAGAGGTTCATTGTGGAGTATGCCAAACGCGGCACGGCGGGATGTAAGAAATGCAAGGACAAAATCCAGAAGGGCATCGTRCGCATAGGGAAGATCGTGCCGAACCCTTTCAGCGAGTCTGCGGGGGAGATGAAGGAGTGGTATCACGTGAAGTGCATATTTGAGAAGCTGGAAAGGGCAAGAGCCACTACAAAGAAGATCGAAGACCTCACAGAACTGGAGGGCTGGGAGGAGCTGCAGGATGAAGACAAAGATCTCATTATTAAACATGTTTCAGGTACAGCAAACACACTTTCTGGATTACTTTTATTTGTTACCTTTACTGTCTRGTTCAAATGGGATTAAAATGTGTTTCATACTTTAACATTAACTTGCAGTAATTAAGGTAAAATGTTTGTTTTTTTCTTGCAGAYCTGATGGCCAAAGTCAATGCGAGTCCAAAAAAAAAGGTTCAGGCCAAACTGAACACSACGGGTCAGCTGATGCCTCCTCCCGCTGACCCAACTGTCAACGCTCCACGCAAGTTCTCAGGCTTCACAGGTAAGACCCGACGCCTGAGGGTCACTTTATAATCTGTTAGCAGATATTTAAACACCTGCAGGAAAACAGGAACACATAAAACATTTTATTTTTATTTTTTAATGCATTTTCATAAATCAGCWGAGTTGTTCTTTTATTTATCAAGTCAATTCTAATTGGAAAAATAACTTCTATTTGAAGCAGCTGGGAGGGATAAACCAAACAGAAAATAGCATTTTTAGCAAAAAGACAAAGTGAAAACTGAAAGTTTGATGACTGAGAAAATTTGTTGAAGAAGCTAAAACTGATTTGTTAAAGTTAAAACAAGCCGAACGCTAGATAAAATTAGCAAAACAATAGCTACAGTAAGGAAAACAGTAGATCTATGCTAAAATCARCAAAYCAAATGCTAAAAACTAATATTAGCYAATTAATACAGAAAAACTAAACCTTATGAACAGCAGCTAAACCCTAAGTTAGCTAAAGCCAATATTAGAAAAACAGTAGCTGAAAGCTGAAATTATCAGAACAGTAGCTAAATGCTAAAACCAGCTAAAATGTTGCTAAAATCTAATTTAATAAAACAATAGTAGTAAGCTACAAACCAGCARAATATTATGTAAAAGCTAAAATTACCCAATCAATAGCTGAAAATTAAAAGTAAACATTGAAAGTCAAATTTTCCTCCACTTAGATTTTGAAGAGGAAAATGCAATGAATGTTAAGTAAATCACAAAAGCTACAAAAACTAAAGGTCGTAGCTGCAATGTGCTACACAAGCCGAAACCTTGGATGCCTGAATGGCTGAAATAGCTGAAGTATGCTAAAAAAAACGGAAGAAACTATTAACAGGAATGTGTGAAAGATGGCTCAGTATTCAGACAAATACAAATAAAAAAATCAAAGTGGTTCTGTTCACAAAGATTGTGAAGCCAAAGTGGGGTTATTTGAACAAAAAAAACAAAAGGCTAAAGCAGGGGTCCCCAAACCTTTTCCTGTAAGGGCCACATAACTTTTCCCTTCTCTGGTGGGGGCCGGAGTCAGTTTGTAACAGAAAAAGTGTGACTATTGCAGGAGTGCCTAAATGGAAAAATTTATTTTTTTCCAGAAAGCACAATCAAATAACCGTCACTGGGTTCTTCACAGTCTGTATTCTGCTGAGCTAACAGTCCATCTTTTAGCTTTGAGAGTTTGTCTGCTCGCATTTGGCCTTGAAGCTATCATACTTGTCTTTGTGACAGGATTCATAGTGTCGCCGCAGATTGTATTCTCTGAATACCATCACCGCCTCTTGACAGATGAACAAAAAATAATCGTTTGGCCACTGCAGCTTAAATGCCCTGCATTCTGAATCAATGTTTCTCTTACCTAATCTTTTCGCCATTATTCCGTTTTGTCTTTGAGAGGGGCGGGTTTAGGATTTTTTTCTGGGGGTTGCCAGATAGGGGCACAGACAGCAGAAGGGTGGAACAGAATGTCACGTTATATGTGTGTATGTATGAAATGGTTACTAACTAATAATAGTCAATAATGAAAATAGTTCAATAAATACACATATATGAAAAAAAAATTAAATGCTCTCTTGTATTGTTCTGGGGGCTGGACCAAATGGGGAGGCGGGCCGTAGTTTGGGGACCACTGGGCTAAAGTAACGATGAAAAAAAGTTTACACACATCAACACTGAGCTACAAACTGAGTGCAGGTAAGARGTATGACTGYAGAAATAAYACWATTCCACATTTCTTGTTTTGCATTCTCTGCTTCTGTAACTTGAGCAGAAAAAGGCACAGATTTGAAAACTTGCTGCTTCTCTGTGATGTCACATGAACTCAGACCTCCACAGACTGAGCCGCTCTGCTCGCTTTATTTCAGTCAGACCAGTTTAACACATCAGTAAAAAGGCTCGGCTCAATCTGGACCGGCCCAATAAACCGGTAGGAGTATTTTTAAAGTTCGGCTGGTTGTGTTGGACGGTGGTAAAACGATGTGGGGAGAATTTGAAATTGGCATTAAAAACCTGGACGTGCTGCCTGAGAGGCTTTATTACACACACAGGGATTTTAGAAACAAATGTCTCAAACTATAAAGTTCAAAACACTTCAGGAATAAATGTCTAGAGCTCAAAATATGTGTGGAGGATCAGSTTCGGCTACTACCACAACAAATTTTAGCTCATTAATTGTAAAACGGACTGAGTTTTGGCTCCTTTTGTGTTTCTGAGTTTGTGACTGATGCTCTGCTTTTTTCTGTACCGTCATCAGCTGCGAAGGCCGGCAGCTCCAGCAGCCCCGGACCATCCTCATCCCCGTCCTCCTCGCCCCCCGYTAAAGGCAGCCCCCTCTCCGAGCAGCTCTGTGACCCCCAGCACAAGGACTGCCTCTTCAGGGAGTTTCGTAAGCTCTGCGCCACGGTGGCTGAAAACAACAGCTACAACACCAAGACTCAGATCATAGAGAAGTTCCTGAAGAAAGGCACAGGAGGAGGTCAGTCGTAGAGCAGCTCTTTGGCTTCTTTTTCTTGTATTTTGGCAGATTTCTGCTCATCACCGTTTCACCGACTCATTTTCTTAGACAAGTTCCATGGAGATCTTTACCTGACCGTGAAGCTGCTGCTGCCGGGTGTCGTAAAAAGCGTTTACAACCTCAACGACAAACAGATTGTAAAACTCTTCAGCCGCATTTTCCGGTGCAACCAGGACGACATGGTGCGAGACCTGGAGCAGGTTGGTTCTGCAGAAACCGTCCCACGGCAAACCTTTGTCTCGTCAACAAATAAAACGTTTCAAACGTTGCTTTGGTTTTGAAGGGCGACGTGTCCGAGACAGTGAGGATGTTCTTTGACGACAGTAAAGCTTTTCCTCCTGCTGCCAAGAGCCTCCTTACAATCCAGGAAGTAGACTCGTCCCTGACCCGCCTCGCTCAGCTGACGAAGGAGGATGAGCAGCAGACTGAGCTGGAGGCGATTGCCAAAAAGTGCAGTTTTTCAAATGTTTTCATACTTTTTTTTAATCAAAACATCCAGCTCATTCAAGACTTGGAAGCTACAAATGTATTGTTTTCAAAAATTTTATAATTTTCAAAATATAACTTTATTTACAAATAAGTTCTCCAAAAAATTACATTAAGCTCAGTTCATTTCCTTTAAATACATTTTTCTTTTTTAAATTTACTTTACTTCATTTGTACTTTAGGATTTTAGCTATCATTTTACTTTAGCTTTTAACWACCCTTTAACAGTAAGTTAGCATTTTGCTGCATTTACCCAGCATTTTACTTTTAGCATATTAGCTTTCAGCTTGTGTTGCAGTTGCATTGGGAAGAATTTGGCGATACGATACATATCATGACAGAGGGGTTACGATACGATATATCCCAATATATTGCGATACTGTAAGCAAGGTGATATATTGTGATATATTGCGATTTTTTTTGGTCGAAAAATTCTATTAAATAAAAATCTCTTACTGGAAAAAAAATGAAAAAGAAAAATTCATTGTCTCAGAAAATTCTATTACATAGACATGCGCTAGCCTTCTGTAACGCGAAGGCTGACTACAGTTGGAAAAAAGAGTGCACAAGACACTTAATTTGGTTTAAAATACAGACATTCTGACAAATAAGTAACTGTTTGTAACCTTACCTCAGCTTAGAAGGCAGAGGGTGTCTGTCTTTTCCACTCAGATTCAGCTATCGAAGCATGAACCCTACCCTTACTCTCTGGCGCTCAAGAGGTAGAGGAGCCAAATGGCTGGCTCACTGCTGCCAACTAGTGGTCAGAGGCTGAACTACAACAAAAATGAACGGCTGGCAGGAAAGTTGACGTTTTAAACCTTAATTAAAAATCGATACAGGGCTTTAGAATATCGATACAGTATCGGGAAATGAAATATCGTGATATTTCAGTGTGTTGATATTTTCTTACACCCCTATTGCAGAGATAAAAAMTCACTTGTGCAATGAATATGGGAAAGAAAGCTGCTTAAAATGTCTTTTTGTTGTTTACCATTTCTCTCCCAGCTTCCCTTCAGTAATAAATCTGCCTTTATTCTGCACAGATGCACCAGCAATGACCTGAAATGCATCATCAGGCTCATTAAGCACGACTTGAAGATGAACGCTGGGGCAAAACATGTGTAAGAGTTTAGCTTAACGCACCGTGTGTTTTGTCAACACAGTTTAATTGTCTTTCTTCAATCATCTCTTCACGCAGTTTGGATGCCGTGGATCCAAACGCATACGATGCGTTCAAGGCCTCCCGTAACCTGAGCGACGTGGTCGAGCGGGTTCTGAGGAACCAGCAGGAGGCATCYGGCGGTTCAGGACCCAGGAAACTCCTGACTGTGGAGGCCTCGCTCATGACCCCCGTCCAGCCCATGCTGGTGAGCGCTAATGCTGATAAAAAATATGCAGCTGTAACAGCGRGAGAGGGTGGAGTTTTCAGAAAAGGAGGGAGGAGCAAGCTGTGATGCGTTCGAGGCACCTGGGGAAAAACAAAACTCCTAGTGAGTTCACTAAAAACAGCTTTTAAAATTTATATTTGCTATTATAGTTGCAGAATTTTAACACATTTGTCAACAACTTATTTGTTTAGTAACAAAAAAAAGAAAAACTGATTGATAAACTGACCTAATTAGAAATTAAYGTGTATTTAAGACACAAATTAGGCTTTATTTTGTTTGGTTTATAAAAAAACAAAATAAATCTGGGATTAAATCGTATGTTTTGGCTTGTAGAGGTGATTAAATATCAAGAAGTTGTTCAATTTCTTTAAATAATTATAGATTTAAACTCATCRTCTTTAAAAATCAGTTAAAAACAGACTGTTCTGGATTGATTTTATCCTTGATTTTTTTTTCTGTTTGGTTGAAATACCTCAACTCAGGGGAAAAAAAATTATGTTTAAACCTCTGAGAGCAAACAACCAGCAGCTGTTTGAGGCAATTTAACGTTGCAAAATAGAATCTGTTGTTTTTGCAGCCGAGGTCAGACGTTAAGTGTTTAACAACACAGATATGATGTCGGTGTTATTTACACGTGGGGACACATTTGTGTCGTGTTTACAGAAAGAAAAAAAAAAACAGAGCAGTTGTAATCGGAGCAGCGTGTTTATTTAGCCTCAGATGAAACAGAGCTCTGAGTTTCTATTTGTTCCCACAAGATCTGACCTAACGGTTAGCTAACTTTGATTGATTAGTCCTTCTGTAACTGTTTCAGAGGAGGAGCTTCAATACATTATATTTAAATTAATATAAGATCAGTCAGTTCATATTTATATTATTATTACAACGATCAAAAACGTAACCAAAGTGCCACTAAGTGTTAAAAGCCTGCCTGAGTAAAAAGGTTTTAAGGTTAGAATTAAAAAGACTCAGGTCCGTGTTAGACCTGGGGGGGGCCTGGGTGCAGCCACTGTAAAGGTCCCGTCCCCCCAGTGTTTGTATTTGGACCTTTGGTCCTGTTGTAAAGACGTATTACCTTCAGTTCCTCTCATGGTCACAGAAAGCTTCTAGATCAGCTAAATAAGTTGGGGGAAGGCTATAAAGAGCTTTAAAAGCAAATAAAAATTAATTTGAAAGTGGGCTGGAAGAGAAAAAGAATGAAAGAGGGTGACATCATGTCTGGGGTTTGAAAAATCCCAACCTTATACTGCGGTTTGACTAGTGCTGTTTTGTGATTTTTATTGCAAAATCTTAGAAAAAAAAATTTTTTTCTCACTAAATACAAAACTAAAAGCAAATATTAGTTTTTACCAGTAATTTATACCAGATGCTGACAWCAGGGCACAGGTCCTATAACCACACGAGTTGCAGAAAATCTGACGTCTTCAAGTGTTCACACATTATGACCCCACAGGAAACACCTGGAATCCCTCGGTGTAAATGTAACGCAACACAGCAGACAGAATTTTAACCACCCTGTTTAAAATTCACTGCAGCTACATCCCAGTTTTAGGCTCCAGTTTCCTAATTATCCACAGAAATCTGTCTTGATTTCGCTCTCTTTTACAGCAGCCTGCAGAGGAAGAAGTGCCGAGCCATCAGTTCTTTCCCTACATCCAGTAGTTTAATTGTGTGTACTTTGAGATGCAATTACAGCAGAGCAGCAGGTGAACGTTTCTGCAGWGGGATTATTGATTAGTTTAGTAATTAGAGAGGACATAACTTCATGTGTTCGTGTTCGGAAAGAAATGCATCAGAGGAAGAAATGTGCTCTTTACTGAATGAACACATTAAAGTGTTTAGATAGCTATCAGATAATTTAATTAATCCCTGGTTTTTAAAATTAAAACAAATATTAGTAAACCTGATAAGATTTTTAAGTGCTGCAAGTCTTTAATGTTTGATTCAAAAATATATCAAAACATGTATTTCAGTCATGTGTGCTGCGAGTTGTGGTACATCAGATAAAGAAGTGATTGTTGTGCACAGAGGAACTCCTGCTTTTTATCTAAAATGGTCAATATAGATAGGAGTGTGATTTGATTATATGGTACAGCTGCCTGCCAAACGTGGTGCTAAATAAAGCGAGCTAACAGGCAGAGTTGAGTGTAAACAAAACACAGTGAACGTTACATCATATATAATCTATCTGGAGCCTTTGTTTTTACTTAAAAGTACTATTTTGTTATTTCAAGTTTATTCATTTAACAACAAAATCAATTCTATTTACAGTAAAAAAACAAATCAAATAAAATGAAAGGCAGCAGAAAGAAGAAAAAAATCTTACAATATCTGCTCCTTTCTTCCTCAAAAAATAAATGTAAACAATAATAATCTACAAATGCACTTCCTTCCTGTGTGTATTCAGGCCGAGGCGTGCAAATCCATCGAATACGCCATGAAGAAATGCCCCAACGGGATGTACTCCGAGATCAAATACGACGGCGAGCGCGTGCAGGTCCACAAGAACGGAAACACGTTCAGCTACTTCAGCCGCAGCCTCAAACCGGTCCTGCCTCACAAAGTCAGTCACCGACACACACACACACACACACACACACACACACAC